CCCCCCCCCCCCCCCCCCCCCCCCCCATGTGCATTCACTCGAGTCTCGGCATTTGCCACTCATATGTGCAAGCGTTCGCCTCATCTCGCGCGTGCGTCGTGCTCCGTCCATCCTCTGTAGGAGAGCCTCCGCCAGTGGTGCATCGTTGGTTTTCAAGAAACATTTTCCGCCTGGCTGCACATCAAGGTGCGCCCACTGCGTCATTGCCCATGCCTGCAAAGGCTGAATGCCGTGCTTCTTGCCCTCTTCCCTTGTTGGCTTGTTGCGCGTCAGAGACGATTGGTATCTGTTGACGTGGACAACCCTTTGCGATTCTGACCGACCTACCCTGTGCAACTCAGGCGCTGCGCGTGTTTGTGGAGAGCGTCCTTCGCTTCGGCTTGCCCCCGGACTTTACAGCCACTTTGCTCAAGATCAACAATGGCAACACCCGCAAGGTCCGACAGATCCTCGGAGAGGAGTATGCAGCCCTTGACCGGGCCAATGCTGCGGGAGCGGATGTGGTAGATATCCCCGGCGTCACCAACCAGGGTGAATATTATCCCTATGTCAGCTTTGACGTGGAGCTGGCACACTTTGTCGACAAGAGGTAAACGGGCGAGACTAGTCCCTTGAGCCCGGTGCCCCTGTTATGGCCCCCCGTCCTTCCATGGGCGCTCTCGTGTGTCGTATTCAGATGGATGTACATGTACACACAGACATGATTTTGGTCACTCGGTCCCATTCTCTCTCGACCCGCACGTTGTTCTCCGTTGTCTTTCTCTTTTCTTCGTTCTTGCTTGTGTAGTTCCCCTCCCCAATCCTTCCTTTTGGTTCCTGCATGCTCTGGGCCCCGCTTGCCTTTCTTCCATTGTTGATGACGTTTGTTCCCGCACACGCGCCAACTCTGGTGGTCTTCTCCGGTCTGTCATAAATCTGTGGCCTCTTGAGGTTGCGACTTTGATCTCCTAGATCTTGAACCCCAAATTGACTCTTCAAGTCGGCACCTGGGGTTCTATTTCAAAGCACATAATATGTTCTCCTCTAGTCTATGCTTTTTTTATAGCCCCTGAGTGAGGGAGGTTCACGTGAGAGTGCTATATACGAATGAATCTCACGTCGTACTTTCAACGCCGTGAGTATCAATAACTTGCAAATCTCGCAATCCCAGGTGCACTTGTGTGGTAACCCAATCAATCCATTCTTGCCTTTGGCACAGCGGGCGGACTATTGTCTGAATGACGCGATGCACGACGAGCACAGAAATGCATCTGATTCATCTTTGCCAGAAAATCCTCAAAAAATCACCTGAAAATCGAAACATTTTGTCAGCAATTTTCGACTCGAGGTGGAAGCTCTTCCGAGTGGTTTACGGTGGTTGTTGACGTTGTAATTTGCAGGTTTGCTAAATCCGGTTCGCTCCTTCGAGGTCTGCAGCGCGTCCGAGCGTCGCCAGGGGCATCTCGTTGAGGGCAAAGTACCACACATACGGGTCTGGCAACGAGCAACATTGAACATGGCTAACGTTCAACAGTTTCCAAAGACGCCGATCTGCCTGGTGAGGTGTTCGCACCCGTTTGAAGTTTTTATCTGGTCGCTCTGCTTCCAACCAGAGGATGAGTCGACGTGCCCTGTCTCATGCGGACACGAATCCAATTGTGGCCAACAGGAAGCTGAGCTGCAGGAGCTTCGTGAGGCCGCAGAAGGTGAGCAGTGTGCTGCTCGGCAGCAAGCTCCCAGCATTTGCCGCACTCTTGTCGTGACGTGGTCAGGGATGGGACTTTATCGTCGTTCATCATGTGCGTGTCCGGTCGGGTCACCTTTCTTCTAGCTCTTCTGCATACCATCTTCGTGATGCGCAGCAAAGCCCACGTATGTCTATCACGCCTTGTTTTCGATCAGCTTCTTGCTGTGGCTTTGTTCCACCTCCTTGGCAAGCCCATCTTCAGCTCACAGCTTAGAGTGGGAGTCGGGCTGACGCAGCATTTGATGATTGTGTGTAGGTCCGCACGGTGGATGCCACCTGCCCCAGTCTAGAAAACGTTACGTATCTCAAAATGTTGATTGATGCGGATCACTTTGCACCGATTCACACGGAAGTGGATGCGTTTGTCGCCAATTTCGTCAAGAATCTCAAACGAGAATCCTCTGGTGAAGGTCAAGTTAGTGCCAACAGGCTGTATATCGAGTCGTCCTCTTGTCCCCTTGTTCCCCAACAGCCAGGCATGTGGACTGTGTCTTGTATTGCAACTCGCATGGCTTACCCTCAGCGCAACTTAGATTGAGGTGACCTTTTTTCTCCGACGCAAGCGCATGCTTTTCGCCATGGATGAGCAACCGTGGGAGCAATGGCGGTTTCGCTTCAAGATGGTCTCAGCCCAACAACAAGGTGCCAGAAGTTTCCTCACACCCATTCTGCTCTGGCCAGTCCGGCCACCAGCATACCCCGCCCCTCAGTCCTCTCAGCTCGCTCTCACACCTTTTTGTTGGCGTCCACTTTGTGGGTATAGGTTATCAAAAGTACCGGCAGGAGTTCTCCGAAGTTTTGCGCAACGCACTCAGTGCCATCTCCTTGGATCTACTGCAGTGCGTAGTTGTGCTTTTGCAAGAAAAGGCGCTGGGCGTCTGGACTTTGATAGCTCAGGGTTGCACTCGTGCCTCATCCTTTTGCCAACGTAGTTCCACGGAGAGTGTTCCAAGCAAAGTGCCAACCAGCGAGCTCTATGATTCGACCGTGGCCAACACCTTTTACAACAATGTGAGTGGGCCCATGGTTTTAGCTTGCTGTGTGCATGACATTGTTCTTTTGTAAATTGTCTCATCATACCTCTTTCTGCGCTGGAAACAAAAATTCTCAGATGCGCGCCATTTTTCCCAGCCAGACTGGAGGGGTGTCAAATCCCACCTATAACAGGCTGCTGACCGGCTTTATGTCATGAGAGGTTTCATACCATTTACCCCTTATCATCCTTAGCGAGCTGAGCTCTCTAGTTTGTGTCTCGTCTTTTTTTTTTTTTTGCAACGAGCAACATTGAATATGACTACTGTTCGACAGTTTCCAAAGACGCCAATCTGCCTGGCAATGTTCGCTTTGCATATTGCATGAGTAACATGGCTTGAACGTCAAGCAGCTGACATGTGAGAGGAAAAAAAATACAGCGACGGTTTGCCAAGTAGGATTGGAAAACTGAAGTCAGGGGCCTCGGCTTTGCCATACGGGCGGGGCCTGGCCGCAGCAGCGCCAAAGGCGCAAAATACAGAGCAAAAGAAGGAGAAGAAGAGACAGAAAGTGGGGGACGACACAGAGCCAGCTGCATCCAATGAGCTGACGCGATTATCAATGCAACACGCCGACCAAGGGGAGCGCACAAGGATGTACAAAAAAGGTGCAGAGACGCGATGAAACTAGTTGATTTATGCCCAGTTGCGCTTGTCGTTGAACCACGCCTCATCCTCGGCCGACATTTTGCACACCTGGTGTGTAATAAATAATATTGCCCCCCAAAACTTTCACGTGAGTGCGCAGCAATTCGATGGAAAGAGGCATGGTTGCGAGGTGGTGGTTGATGGAAGACATTGTGTGATGGAAAAGTGTCGTTGCATGGCGCACCTCAGCGGGTGGAGGCATGTTACGCTCCCATTTGGTACCGTCCAATGATGTGGGGGCTGCGAAAGGCGACAGCATGACCATTGGCGCACAGGAAGACCCAAGGGGAAACAGAGTGAGCGGGCCAGGCGGGGTTCAGGCGGCGGCCTAAGCAGGGCAAAGCGGTTGGCTGCGAAGGCGAGCCGGCTTGTCTGCTCATGCTCAACGCACCGACATAGGGGTTGGGGTGCTTAATCTCATCCAGCTCAGCCTGCGCGCAGAGGGAGTAACCATTCAAGTGGAAAGATGATCAAATCGTCCATGGAATGAGACAAGGGTGCAATGCATGTGGTCAGGGGCTAATCATGGGCAACCATTAATGCCAGTGCTGCCCAGCAGGGCCGCGTACGATTCAAGTTGATCTGCTCACCTCGCCAGCCTCCACGAGCTGGGTGGCCTTGACAATGTTCTTCTCAAAGCGGGTGGCTTCGAATCGTGCACGCAGTTCCATGGCCTTTTGGCGATACATGCCACGGTCCACGGTCCATGACAGCAGGTTCTTGAGGCTGTGGCGGTACAGCTTCAGGACTCGCAGTTGGTGTGCAGAGCTCATGGTGATGATTCCTGCGGAGCAAAAAGCTATGAGCTCAGCCACGCACCACCTCGAAAAAAAAAAAAATAGCGCTGCGGCAGCACATGATGAAGACAGCAAATCAAAAGCGCAAAGAGTTGAACAGAACAATGCCAGCTCCATCAAGTGGGCCGCGTTCTACAACGTCACAGTACTCTCAGGCCAAGAGCACGGCGCCGCTGCCGCTCTCCAGCAGCAGCTCGCTGCCACCACCAACCAACCTGCTTGAGATGCTTCAATGACAAAAAGGAAAACAGCGGGAAGAGAGAAGCGGGGGTAACTTTATAGTTGACACTGAACAACTGACCCCAGCACTTCTACCAAATGTAATGAAGGATTTTCTGGTCAGAGCTGTGTGTGTGTCGTCAGATCGGATTTCGTCTCCGACTGGGTTTGCTTGTGGCACTGGCGTGCGTTCCCGCTCGCCCAGTCTCGAAGCGCGGGTGAGAACGCTGCTCTGGAGCTGGTGGGGGCATGCGGTTGGCTTGAGGCTCTGGTCACCTCCCGATGCACTTTTTGCCTGTGCAAACACTCTCGTCTCATTCGCGACCTCTGGCTTGCTTGGATCCACTGTTGTTGCGGTCTCTGCGTTTTCCAGTATTGGTCTGAGCTACCACTTTGGCTGTCGCTGCGGCAGCAGCACAACAGCATTTCATTAGCGCCGACCACACCGTTTGTCGATTGGCAGCCCCGCCACCAGGCGACTGACAAGCATGGCCAGCCTGAAGCAGTTTCTGCGCGAAGCATATTCGCCGAGTGTTGTCCTGCTGGCCTCGCCCGAGGCGGATCAGCTCGCTTCGCGCAATGACCTGAGTCTCGCCGAACTGTTGAGCCCCTTTTGTGATGTGCCGTGGGGCGGTGAGTATTCTGCCGCCAGCCCCGTTCTGCTCGCGACTTCTTTTGCTGGTTGCAGTGGTCAATATGACGGCGATCTTTGGTCTACCACCTGACCATGTGCTCTTCTTGTTGGTACTCGATGCTTTAGTCAAGGGGCCGGATGGTCGGGCCAAGGTTACTACCATCTCCATGCGCCTTCGCGATGCGGTCAGTTTCGCCGACACTATCTCTGATGCGTGCGCAACTGAAAGACAATTCTCTCACTGCCATGCTACATCAACTCACCCCGCTGTCTTGCCTGCTTCGTCGAGGGTAGCGGGATTACGTGCCGTCGAGCGATCGCCGTGCGCACACGCTCACCTCAAGCGTTGTACACCACAACCCAAACTTGGACGAGTTGTGGGCTGACCCAGCCGAGCTGCAGCCCCACAATACGCCCTGGTTTGAGGCATATCGTAGCCATTACTTGCGCACTTTTGAGCCCGTGGACTTTGAGACGATCAATCACCCGGTGGCCGCCTTGGTTGCTGATGCAGCCCACAACCCCGCTTGTGTGGCGGATATGGTCGAAGCTTTTCATCCAGCCAAGGTCTGGCCATAGTACATGCTTACTTGAGGGACCAGCTCGGCTCAGCATCAAATCGTGGGCTCATGCTGACAGTCCCAGGCTCATCCCACATGTCACCTGCACTGGCATTAGCCCTTGGATCTTTATCGTAAATATGATTTCATGCATCAAACCATTCCGGCCGTATATTTGCTTCTCCACGAACCGGACAAGTGCTCTCTGGCTCACGCCGAGGAGCGCCTCCAGGTCCGTGTTTACGTCTACTTCTGGAGTGGCGTTTGTTGATCTGCGTGCCAGCTGCAATCAGTCATGTACTCACCATGGTCACGACCACACCCTGGCAGGCGCTGCAAGCTGCCGTGAATGGTGCCACGTGTGTCCTGCTGACTCTTAATTCACGGGGTCAGTCAATAAGCGCTTAATCTAGATGTAGTACCTGATTCTTTGTGTTTTGTTGTATATGTGTGTGTGTGCGTGCGCGCGCGCACACACACACGCACACACACGCATCCTCTTGTATTTGTCTCTGGTTGTCTCTCCTTTTTCATCTCTTCTGAGGGTGTTGGTTTCCTTGCCCCTGACTCCACTCACCCGATCAATGTTGATCCTGCCCGACAGCAGCCCAAAAAGAACAGACAGACAGCCAATTGGCTGACATGGTTTCCGAGGAACAATGGTTTCGCTGCTTGCCCGATGTAATGGCACGCCGAAAGGCTGCCATGGCCAACGCTCATCGTCGTCACAGTCGACGTTCCTCGTCCAGCTCCTTGCGCCGCAGTCCTGGTGAGTCCTGATCCCTCTCTTGTTTGCTTTGAAGGTGCGTTCATCATCGTTCATTTCTTACGTTCTCGACCATGATCGCCATCCACCGTCTGTGAAGCTTCAGAGGCCTCTGATCCCCTCAGCTCGATGGCAGCCGAGTCAGAGGCCCAAGCTGAGCTTGGTCCTTCGGTGCGTCTTTCAACTCGAGGCTGTGGGGCTACTGTGTCCTCTGGTGCTTGTTGTTCAGTGCGTGTATACTTTGTTTTTGCTTCACCCATAGCCGGACCAAGTCGCCCAGGCTCGTGTGGGACGTTTGCTCACTTCAGAGGACGCGCAAAGGTTTGAAGGCCTCTTATGCCGCCTCATTAGCGTGCGAGAACAACCCTTTCGAGACGTCTGATAACCCACAACTTTGATATTGCGCATCTTGTGTAGAATATCTCGTGCTTTGGAGACGCTCATGGTGCAAGGCATCCTTCCGCAGCTGCAACGCAAGGTGGCTGAGCTTGAGGACACGGTGCGTACCTGTGGCGTCTCGTTGAGTCACTCAGCAGTGGGCAAGGCACATCTCACTGATCCTTCAAAAACCAGGTGGCAACGGCTCGCAAGGGCAAGAGTTCCTTCAAGTTGCTCAAGCTGTGGGGTAGTAAGGCAACATCGGCTGCCAGTGATGCTGGCTTGGGTGGCAGCGTCTATGGCATGCTCTCCACGGAGGCGCAACAACGTCGACTCGCTGACCTGACCTTTTTTCTTCAGGTATATGATCTTGGTTCTGATGTTCCGGGTACTTGACATTAACCGGGCGCAGCAGCCGTATCTGGCTCGCGTCAGGGTCACACGCCTGTCACCTCAAGGCCGTGGGAATTTACTTGCGTTCGGGCCCACCTTTGAACCACCCATTTCCGACCTTTCATCTCGCAATTCTCATTGTCCTGGTGTTGCGCCCTCGATCCCTTGTCTGCAGAATTACAAGAGCGCAGCTTCACATTACTCACAGCTGCGTAAGGATTTTAACAACGACAAGGCCACGCGCCATGCTGCCTCGGCCAGTGAAATGTTTGCCGTATGCATGAGCTTTGTCGACGTACCCACGGCAGACCAGACTTACTTTGACAAGGCACTTGCAGCCTTTTTACCGGAAAAAGGACTGGGTGCATATGCCATGCGCCTGGTTCTGACCTATACACATGTGCTCCAATCGCGGCGCCAATACAGCGAGGCGGTACGAGCCGGCGCTGGGCAGCACACTTGCTGGTCATCAGATCCACTGCCGTTCACGCGGGGACCTGCTGCCGCCTTGTGTTCCGTGTAGATTGTACTGTGGTTGCGTCTCTTGCGATCCAGCTCCTTTCCCGGACCCCTCGATGCGGGTCTCGTCTACGAACAAGTGCGCTGTGTTCCTCTGCGCCATGGTGTGGTGCTTGCAAGCTACAATGGGCCATGGCTGAATTTCACCCATTTCTTTCAATAGGTTGCCGAGCTTTACATCAAACAACACCCAAGCGCTCATCGCAAGGCTGCCTTCAACTTTATTCAGGCGGGCCACTGTTATGCGGGGGCAGCCGCCTCGAGCTTGGCGCTGCGTTGTCTCCTTAGCGGCTGGCATATGATTAAGAACAAGCGATGGGGCCTGGTGGAGGCTCGACTCCTCACCACCATGGCGCGCCAGACGGCCTACTTGAATCATTTTTCCGTAAGATTTTGCTGAGAATTGGTTGTCTATGCTGGCTTTTTGATGTTTGTAGATGAATGGGCGCCACCATCTCACGTGCAAAAAATCCTCCTCTTCCTTTCGTGCCATTGCTATCCGGGCTGATTCAGTACACTCTTTACTGTTTTGATCACCTGGCGCGCCTGGGTGCCACGCTGTCTGCTTCCAAGCAGCAAGCCTTAGTTCGCGATTATCTCCAAGCCTCCAAGTTCGTTTGTGCAGTTTGTGATGGCCAGCCTGCATCGTGAGGCAAGGGGAGCCTTTCCCGACAGGGCTAGCACTAGCCCAACTTGATGCATTCTGACTCAATCCGCTTAATACTTGTCTATTGCGCCACCACCATTGTCAACAGCAAATTTCGACAGGTACACGGAGATGTGTTGCAACGTGCGGGTGCAGCGCAACCAAACTTTGAGATCCTGCAAACAATTGCGCTTCCCGACATTCCTTCGCGCGACGTCACGATTCAGTTTGCTGAGCTGAGCAACTCGACACAAGATGACTACGCTCTACAGCTTGATTCGGTCTGTGGGATTGAGCCGCTTTGCTGGTGTATCTTGTTTAAGCAATGCCAACCAGCGGACCGTGCTGCTCAGCTGCGTGCGCTCACCTCGGCCGCCGCTCTCTTGAATAGCCTGCGTGGCAGCGCCTGCAGGATGCCTTGAGTGCCAGCTTCAAGGCGCCTTGTGTAAGTTGAAGGGTGCGACGCCTTTTGCCCATGGATCTGGGCACCTCTTCTCACGATGATGTGGCTGTATCAACGACGTGGCAGGTGGTCTTGCCGGGCGCCCTATCCGCTCTGGAGCCCGTCACATTGGCTCCTCTAAGCGTAGTCAATGAGAGCCTGATCATCTCTCTGCTCTTGCGCAATCCGCTGCAAACTACCCTCCATCTTGCTCAAGTCGCATTGATTTGTGACTTTATTGAGGCCGGGGCTCAAGCAGAAGACACGGCACAGCAGTCCGCAAGCACAGCTCAAGACGACGAGCTCCTGGCGCGCGCGCGCTTTGTAGCGACGCGCACCTGCTCCTCCAAACCTGCTCTTATGGAAAGCACTTCGTTGGTAGAGGTTGCTCTGGGGCCGGAGCAGGCTCTGCCGGTGGCACTTTCTGTCACTCCGCTTCGTCCAGGCACCCTAATCTTGAAGGGATTGCGGTATGTCATTTGCAAAGGGAGCTGAGATCTCTTGTTCGGTCTTTTTTTGTGAAAAGAAGGATCAAGTCAAAAAAAAAAAAAAAAAAAAAAAAAAAAAAAAGAAAGAAAAAAAAAAAAGAAAAAAACGCAAACTCAATGTTGCCACTCTGGGTGGCTTGTGGGTGTTCCTGATTGTGGATTGTTTAGATACGAACTACGCGAGTCTGGTGTGGCTGTTGCCGGTGCCACGCTGTTTGAGTTGCAGGGCAAGCGTTTGAATACCAAGCCCGAACACTTTACCGGTCCGAGAATTTTCCACCGCTATGTTTTGGCTGCTATGCCAGAGCCGGTCTCGCAAGCCTACGAGACAATTTCGTGTGCCTCATGGCAGGTTATGTTGGGTGTGTAGAAAAGCACTACGGCCCAGATTTGCGTTTGCAGCCGCGTATTGTGCCCCCTACCCCGCGCGTTGTATTGGAGGTGAGCATTGTGAGCATTTGCTCTCTTGTGCCACAGCTACGCACGTTGTTGTGCTTTTTCCCCTATTATTCTCAAATAGCTCGGCTCTCTGTACCCTCATTCCTTTTGACAACAATCATGTAGACACGCAGGCTAAAGCACGTGGTGCTCAAGGGGGAAACGACCTCATTTGAAGTAGCGGTAAAAAATGTTGGCGACGAGCCCGTTGCGCAGTTGAAGCTAGCAACGTCACTGTGAGTCACACCAAACGCACGCCTCAGACCTGGACCAGCCACTTTTTCCTGACATCTGCTGATCAAATAGTGGCAATTCTTTCCAAGTTTTGGACCCAACGACGGCAAACACGCTACTGGTGCGAGGGGGTGGTGGTGTTGGTGGCGAATGGCAAAGAAGGCGATTCGCTGGAAGGATATGATAGGGACTCTAGGTTTCCTGCGGGTTCATCAGGGCCTTTATCAATCTGCTGTCGTTGATCTCAATTTTTGGCGCTGTTTTGCGGTGTGCATGCTCTTTTAGACCACTGCGGCCGGCGAGCGAGCGGTTGCGGTGCCCCTTCCTCCGGAAGGCATTGCCGCGGGGGCCGAGCTTGTTGTACGCTGCTGGGTGACCCTGGATTCACCCGGTGATCATTGCCTAAGCCTGATGGCAGGCTATGCGGGCGCGCAGCCGGCGGCCGAGCTGCCCTTTCGTACCTCACGCTTGGCCGAGCGCATCGTTGTGCAACCGAGTCTGCATGTTGAAGCCGGATTGGCTCTACATGGCCAGGAAGAGGCACAGGGATTCCTGACATTGCGGTTGCGCTCGCACTTGGCCAACACCGCCACCATTCGGCGCTTTTGCCTGGTCAACACTGACTGGGCACTCACGCCTAGCAGCCAAGGCAATCTGCCTTCTGAGGTGACGGCCGATAGCCACCCCTTGGTGACCTTACCTTGCGTGCGGGCTTCAGCCCAGCGCCAGAGTCTGGATGCCGTGCTGGCAGACGAGGCGGACAGTGCAGTTCTGGCAGCTGAATGCAATCGCCGGATGCCCAATCAAGAACCATTTGTTCTGATCATCTGGTCAGACTCTCACGCCCAGGTCGAGCGGGCAGTCACCACGTGCCCCCTCACAAGCTGGGATCAGGGTGCGTTTTTTGTCCATCACGAGCAGATCAGCCGTCAACAGAAAACTTGATCAGCTTATTTTCTCACACTGGTCATGCTTGGGTCGCTTTATCCCATCATTGCCGGCCATAGGTGTGGCGCTCAACGAGGCTGTGCATGTGGTCTTGGATTACGAATCAGTTGTCGTGCACGACTTTTCAGTCGATCGGTTCGTGCCTGTTGCTTTTCCCTCACTGCCATCGTGGTCGTCAGGGATGAACATAGTGAAAGGCTTGTCTTTTGGCTGTTCCGTGAGGGATCACATCTCATGGGTGGTTGGGTCGTCGTTCCAACGTCCACGTACTCAACCTGCTTGTGGGCACTTAGGTGCTGTCGTGTCAAGGTGACGCTCAATGTATCCAATCTACCGCCAAGCGACCGGCAGAGCCATGTCTGCTGTCGCGCTCCTCGCAACACAACTGGATCGTACGTTGAGCCTGCTGGGTCGTTCATGTCGTTCGGGCTGGAGCACATCGGGTCGGAAATGCCGGGCTCATCCTTCAAGCTTTACTCATCGACCTGGTTGTTGCTATCAATTACGCTACAGAGCCAACGCCACGGGGCTGTTTTGGCCCGGCAAGGTCAGCATTGTGAAACGTCTTTTCACATGTCACGGATTGCTTTGGCATGTATGTCTCTCGATCTGTTTCTGATCTGTGCACCAACGTGTTGCTTGTGCGTAGACTGTGCGGCGGCAGGCAGCCAACAACACCAATGACGGCTTGACGTTTGTCTTTGAGGCTTGTGTGACGAGTCCAGGCACCTTCAACCTTCATGGTTTCCATGTCTGGCTCGAGACCTTGGCAGATCCGGCGACTCGGCGCGTCATAACGACGCGCCTTGATGACCAATTTCTTGTCGTTCTGGAACAGGCTGCTGCCAATGTCCCAACACCCTCGTCGCCCCTTGCAGAATCTTCGCAGGCTTAGAATGTTAAATGTTGGTTCATCATAAAACCATGACATTCCAGATTTTCGTCGTTCAAAACACCAGTTGTACTCAAAACGACACACGGACAGACACCTACAACTCAGCGCCAGTGAATCATCACACACTCTCCCTCTCTTCTCTCTTTATTACTTTTCCCTTGTTGGTGTTGGTGTTTTGCTTTCGAGGTGAGCCGGTCGAGGGTCGGCAGGGCTGTGCCTGTGGCCTTGATGGCGAGACACGGTGTAGGCGATGGGGACAGGACACGACAGGGCTTGGGGAGGGCGATCATCAAGTGACGTGCTTGGCAGGATTTGTTGGGGGTTTCTCTTTGTTGTTCAGCAGAAAGGGGGATCGGAGGTTCCGATCAGCTGGGAATGATACTGAGGCTGACCGTTTCTTGCCGATGGGGATTCAATGTGCCTGCCATCTTGTTGACTTGGTCTGGCTACAGGTCAATAAACTTGGAAGAGTCTGCTCGCCTTTGGCGTGGAGGTGCTTTGCTGCCCGCAACGCTCGTTCACGATGGAGCACAAGTTTGCAGAGAAGCTGACGGTGCTGGCCGATCATGCCCACGGGCTCAAGTGCCGATTGGCTGTCTCACTCAAGGTTAATCCTTTTCATTTCTGTTCACGTTCGCTGGGCGCCATTGCCAGATGCCTTGACCGGCTCGTGTGCATCTGCTATGATCGTGGCGTGTGTCTCACCCGAAAACTTGTCCGCCTCTGCCTCAGTTGCTGAATGGGACGGAGCGACCGGGCATCCTCAACGAAAAGCTTTATGAGTCCCAAATCAAGGCAGCCGTCAAGCGCTTTCCGCACGTGGATTCGCTCAAGGTAGAACACTGGCTTATTACCTCTGCATGCTCCGTCAAGGTGAACCCACTTTCACACACACACACACACACACACACACACACACACACCACACACACACACACACACACACACACACACACACACACACACACACACACACACACACACACACACACACACACACACACGTAATAACCATGCCCCTCACGGTCAATGTGCTTGCTCCACTCAGCCCGCAGATGGATTTGTATCACAGCACCGCGAGGAACTGGGGCGCACCCTCGCCTCGCATTACTACACCATGGTCGATCTGCTGGAGTTTCAGGTCAGCACATTTTTGACCCATCACCCGTCGGTCTAATTCATCATCACCTGGGTACCCCCCCTCACGGTCTACCTCGTGCCACAGCAAAACATGATGGAAGTCTTGACCAGTCTCTCCGCTGAGACGATGATTTTTGATGTGGTAAGGAATCATCAATGCCGAGTGTTGTGCGTGCACGTGTGCCGAGGAGTGCGAAAGTTTGAATCGGCATATTCTTATCTATCGGTGTGATCCTCGGTCGGGAACACGACACAGGCTTTGAACACGGAGCTGACCACCAAGTTTTTGGATGTCATCACTTCCTACGTGGCTTGCTTGCTGATGCTATCACGCCTCGAGGAGCGCAAGAATATTGCCAGTTGCTTCACCACCGTCTGCGAGCTCGAGCGCAAAGCCCCGTACGTTAATCACATTCCTTGATGCCCAAGCCTCTTGTGTTGGGGTTCAGGTTTGCATTCTTTGTTCTCAGCATGCGAATCGTTTGTTGGTTCAACTGCAAGCATGCCGAATGACTCGCACCCTCATACATCATCAATGACGCCGTGCATTTGGTTAGAGAGCCGTCTTTTCCCCGCCTGGCCCGCTTTTTGATGGAATTTGACGCGCCGCTGAAGCTCCTGCCCACCATTTTCGCGCCTTATGAAAAGGTACGGATCGTCTAAAGGGAAGCTTACGTGGCCGGCCCGTGTGCGGCGAGCTTGCCTCACATGTTGCACACTTTTCGTAGATTCTGGCGCAAGCGCTGCACTCTATGAGCAAGCACATTGCCATGCACTATCGCGATGCTGCTGCCTACCGTAAAGATCATGTGCTGAGCGTCTCCAACAAGCCGGCCAACGTGCGTGCTTGAACATGAGCCTGACTCTTCCGTTCCTGGCACACGTGCATTGAGGTTTTACAGACGGGCAATGCTCATCATACCGCTTTTATACGCGTTGTTGTGTTGGTTGCATGTAGATGAAAGTGCCTCATAGGAGCCCACACGCTCTGCTGGACTATTTGTCCATTGATCGAATGTTGCACTGGGTTGCACTCGGCTATTTGACGGTCTGTGCCCTTTCTTCGCCACTTTTGATTTCTGTCAACTCCGGTGCGCCGTGCCAAGGCTGATGCTGTCCATGTGACAGGTACCACACGAGCTGCTGGCCGATGAGGTGTTTCAACTCGTGGCCGTGGCCTTGGGCGACAGCTACGTCTTCACCCTGCAGGGTACCCAGACGATTGATATTCATGCCGCCTACGAGCAGCTCATCGGTTTCCTCAAAGAGGGTAAAAAGATGGCCAAGGTCAAGGTGAGTTTGATTTCCGGTGCGGTCCTCGTCATTCTTTTCGTTTGCGATGGTCCTGTCATTTTAATCTCGGAATTCTGCTCTAGACGGCCTGCCACGAGTTGATCAACACCGTCGTGGCCAAGTCGCCATCATTTCATGCAGATCGCCGTACTTTCTTGCGCAGTGCTATGCACCAGCTCCTTTCCATTTTCCGCGAACAGCCCGGTCTCATGGGTCCTCAGGTGCGACGACTTGCGGTTGTAGTTTTGGTTGCGCGTGTTTCGATATGCTTCTTCCATCGGCGGCCCGCTTTCCCTCTTTGCTTGATGCTCACGCGCCGAGGCACTGCTGTGCAGATGCTCGTCCTGATGAAAGCCTTTTCAATGGCCAAGGACGAGATCAACTGGCTTCTTCGACATCAGCATGCCCGGGTTCCAAAGGCCAAATCTAAGCTTGACCCTCGCACGCTGCAAGATCCCAAAGTAGCTGAGCTTCTCTTCTACATCGCTGAACTTCGCCGTACGTGTTCAATGGAACCCGCTCGTTTGCACACTTTGACGCAAACTGCGCCCCCCCCCCCCCCCCA